TGTTCGTGTTTTCCTCCGAAACAATAAGTTCCGTTGGAGCAGCCTTTCAACACCTCTCTCTGTCGCTCGCAAGCAGAGTTGACCCAGACAACAAAGTAAAGCTATTTTTCGGCTACGAGCCCGACACGGAACCCGTATTAGCCAGAGGTCCCTTTACTACGGTTCGGAGTCGTGGACCTTCAGTAATAGTAATAAATCACAGCAATAGTACATTCACGTAGTTGTAAAATGTAAGATAGTATGTTAAGTAATCCAAAGTATTCAGAATATGTTACTCTCATTGAGTAACGTAACGGAATACGTTACAGAATACATTTTAGGGCATGTATTCTGTAATCTGTAATGGAATACATTTTAAAAGTAACCTTCCCAACACTGCTTCTGACACTAAAACTAACAAAACAGCAGCCAAAGCATTAATACCAAAGCTTCAAAATTTAGAGACCAATACCTGTTTATTTCTATGTCTGGATTTTTAAATTAGAATATATTAAACAGGCAGATTCATGTCTGCGAGACTGACTGAAATGTTGAATGTGTGATCAAAGATGAATTGCTTGTTTCATCTTTCTGTATGACACCATGTATGACAGCATACAAGCAGAGGTAATTATGTTTTATGTTGCAGTATAATAACTCCAACATTTCCTTGAAATCAGTTCAAGCCATTCTCTGCTGCTGTATGACTCATGTTGTTGCCGTCATTGTCTCTAAATGTGTCTGCCGTGTGTGTTGGCTGGAATTGTCCTGTTGACTATGAGACAGATTTAAAATCGCCTGACTCACTCACTCCTAAACCGGATCCCCGAAGTGCTCTTAACCTTCCCTCCACCTCCTCATGCTGCCAGAATGACTTGAGCTGTGCTTCAAAATAAATACAAGCCATTTCTGTTGGCCACAGGAGGATTAAATGTCAGGGAATAAACTCTAAGTGCGCCAAGAAATGTGCGTTTGCAAAGATCAGTTTTAAATAAGACCCTTTTGCCTACAAGCATACACAATTCAAGTTTTTAAATGGAGATGAAATGAAGTTTTGAAAGTCTACCACATTTATGGTCATGCAGAGGTAGTCTTCCTCCCCCAGGAAAAAAGTATTTTGTTTTACCTTTAAAGGTATAATGGCACATCACTGTGCCATTATATACCAGCATTACCTTAGTGGTACCCTCGAAGGTATTGCCATTGAGCCCTTTATGGGGCAAAAACTTTGTATGCTTCTTTTTTGTAGCTGGTGGTGCAGTCATGAAACTCTGACTACAATTCTGCACCTTAATGAAGGGGACACTTGTTACCCATTCATTGATGAAGGTGCTACTCTTTAACTGCCATTACCTGAGACTCAATAAGATTGCATTAGCCAACCTTCTTGCACATCCCAAATAATACAAGTTGTTTTTAAAGCATGCTGGGGCTTCAGATGATATTATACTAGTACATTTATAAAATATAATTGATATAAAAATTTTATACAGCATTGTGACAAAGAAGCAGCCAAAATTAACAGAAGTATACACTAATAACTTTTTTAATATCTGCAGCTTTTAATGATGATGCAATCCTCATTTCTAAATCGTAAATTGCAAAGAGAAAAGACCGAGCTCTCTAGTAGCAGGTCTATTTGTGATAAACGGAAAAGAAAGACCAAAGACAGAGCACTGTGTTCACACATTAGTGCAAGGATATTTTGTACACTGCTCAAAAAAAGTTAAGGGAACACTTGAGAATTACAATATAGCACAAAGTCTGGTAAACTTCAGGTATATGTATCTACCCAGTTAGAAGGCATAATCTATTGTGAACCTAGTTCACTTCCTTTGATCCAAATAAAAGCAATAAAGGATTCCTTGGAGAGGCAACAATAGGGAAAATATTAATTAAAGTTGATTTAATTATTGATAATTATTTAAATTGTTTGCATTTGAAAATTCATTCATTTGTTTTAAAAAATGTTTAATTCCTACATATGCATATCACACTACATGAGAGATATATGTTGTATAATTTATCATTTACAGTTATATACAGTTCATATCCTCTCTTTCACTGGGATTGCACTACTTCATATTTAGGTTTATTTAGGACCATAAATATTTGACACAGATTTTGTTATTCTCTGCACATCACCATAGAGTGCAGCTTTTAAATATTTAATTTAAGGCATTTAACAAAATGTTGCAGATATTATTTCAGGGATTATAGTTATTTTCATTTTAGCTATTTTATAGGGCTCAAAATGACAATCTAAGATAGCTTTAAACATGAGAATTGTTTTTAATACTGTGATGAAAAGCCTTTGCAGTCAGTGACTGATTGAAGTCTAGAGTCCATAGATATCAACAAATGTTGTTGCTCTTTTGAAATGCTCTACCAGGTCTGTCAGCAGAGTATCGGCCTTAACACTTCAGAAGTCATTCTGCTACTTTTATCAGGATTAACAAATACTAATGACCTAGTTCCAATGGCAGTTTTACATGACCATGACATAGCATTGGCTCCACCATGTTTGACAGATGATCTGCTTGACGGCATGAGAAGTTCCTTTTCTTCTCCATACCTTTCTCTTTATAGAATTCTGGTTAATCTTAGTTTCAACACTTTTGATCTCTTTAATAGGATTTGTTTTTGTTTTGCTTTGTTTGTTTTGGGGGTGTTTTTTCAGTTAATAATGCCCTTCTGACTTCTTTAAGTTTTGTGGAAAAAAGTCCAGTTGCTTTCTTTCCAACCTCCTTAGATATAACCATAACCTGGATGACTGAGAACTTTATAGATGTTTTTCCAAATGTCACCAAGAAATTCACACATCCATGCCCTTCTCTTCCCCACTGCCCTCTCCACTCTTCTCTGAACCCCTTGCCAACACAGGAATCAAATATTCTATATCTACATGACAGAATTTTCTGAAATCTATACTTTAGGTGGATTTGGCTTAAAAGTAAGGAAACAACTACATTTCAAAATAGGGTATGGATAGGGTATAAAAGGTGTCCCTGGGATGTCGATCTGGTCAAGTAATAACAATAAACTATTTCTCATTATTTATTCACAGTTGTATGTCTTTAAATCAGGTTTCTTGTGAGACTAAACACTGCAGTTCAATAACTGTTTAGAATGACTGTAAACTAACATTGTTATTCTTTGGCCTTTGGTTTGGATTATCCAAATTATGAGGTCATGAGACAGGTCTGGGAAACAGGAGAGAGCCAGTGCTGCTGAGGAGTTAAGGAGAGGTGAATGTATGTGGTAACTTGAAGAACTAGGAGAGTCCATCAGTTTGTGGAATGAGGATCTTAGGTTTGTAGGGGGGGTGGGTTCATACGGTAGTCCATTCATGTGCATAATGCCAAGTGATGGAGGCCTCTGTAGACCTGAGGGGCCTTGGGGTCCCAGAGCTGTTCAGACCACTGACCCCTAAAGAGAGGTTAACATCATGTTAGCTTTGCTCATTAGCCCTGACTGGCCCATGACCATGGGTGGGCCTGAACCCCAAATTCTCCTCCTACTAATACTCTGCACTTCCATTCTCCCCCTGTGTTCCCTATGTTCTTTCTTTCTTACATTCTTGTATTCCTCCATGCAGCGATTGACCTGATCAACAACTTGCTGCAAGTGAAGATGAGAAAGAGATATAGTGTTGACAAGACACTAAGCCATCCCTGGTTGCAGGTAGGAAATCAGTTATTTGAATAACTCCATTAAAATCAATTTGGGAGCATTTTTCAAGTTCAATACAAATCTGTAACATAACAATCAAGAATCAGTCAATAATACATTTCAGATTAATATAGCATCATCCAAATCATATAAAGGGTTCACTTTATATGATTACTGTTTCAGTTAAGATTTAGAGCTTTCATTAACCCCATATGTGTAGCATGTAAAAACATTTTGGAGTTTTGGGAATTTTTTTCTTTTTGCTTACTTAACATCAGCAACCTTAATCCATCTTGTTTAACTAAACTTTATTGTCTGCAGGCAAAGTAAGTGGGGCCACATTAAGGTCACAGCTTCTGCAGTAATCAGGAAATGCTGTATTGTGAAAAGGATTTCATTCTGGTATAGCAACCCGACTAGACTTCTGACACACATGAAGTTCCAAACTGAATTAACTGAATGAGTTGAGAACATGTAATCTCACATTCTTTGAATGATATGTAGTGAATAAGAATTAAACATCTAGTTGTTGAATCACAATGCATTTCACTTTGGTATGGGATAAAAACCAGAGGCACAATTCCACAATAATGCTAATGCTGCATTTTATTTGCTATCTGTTAGATTTATATCTTGTGTTGATGATAATCAGAAAATATAGTGTAGGTAAAAAAACAAACAAACAATTTTTGTGTTTACAGCCAGTTTTGCTTCCCCCACTGAGCCAGAAAATCTGTTCATGTAGTTATGGACCAGTTTATGCGTGAAGTTGTAGTGCCTAAACTGTTCGAAAGTTTAGGTGCTACAACCTCAGAAGCGTGGTCACCTCTGATTTAGAGTGTGGAACAGTTAGGAGATCCTGATCTGATGATTGGAGAAGATTGGAGAAGTATGATAAAAACTATTTTAAAACAGAGTGACAGGTTCCAGGCTTGAACTTTGATCTGATTCCACTGATTTTTGCCAGGAAAACAATTAAGAAATTTCCACAATCATCAGATGATGTTGTAGGAAAACTGCACAGAGCAGGCGTAAAAAGTCTGTTGATAGTGCTAAAGAGGAAGCTTGCATTGCACTTATTATTGTTAGTCAAGCCAAACAAGTAGGATGTTATGCATATTTTACAAGTTGAGTGAATGTGGTTAGTAGGTCCTTTATGTGCTGCTAGTGCACATAGAAGGTTGTATTTGGTTCATCTTTTCTGCAGTCTGTTCTGTGATGATGAATATAACCACTCATCCAAGGGGAGGAAATTACAGCATGAGCTAATTTGGATTTTTACATTATCAAGGGCTAATGTACACAGATTATTAAATCAATTCAGAGTTGAAAATCTAGCTGCCCAAATCTAATTAAAGATAATTTGCGTCTACCTCTGTGAAGACAAACTGGTTGTAGAACAGACATGAAGAGCGAGTTTAAGGATAGGACAGGAGCAAAAACAAGGTCCAGGATGTGTCCAACATCATGAGTTGGACCATTAACCATGATGGACCTAATAAAACAATTTTGCAGTATTAACATATCTGGTGGCATGCAAAGAGATTTGAATACTCTGTAAGGAATTCAGTAGGGGATTTAGGAGGTCACTAGATAACAATATATCCATCCATTCATTCTCTTTCAACTATCACAGGATCACAGGACCCTGAACAGGTCGCCAGGCTGTTGCAGGGCTAACACAGAGAAACAGACAACTTTTCACATGCAAATCCAAATACAGGCATTTTGGAACAAACAGTTAACCTGACCTTACTAACTGCCTATGGCCTGTTTGAGGAAACTGAAGTACCTGGAGCAAACCTGGGCAACCATTAGGAGAACATGGAAGCTCTATAAAGGAAGTCCCTGGTTAAATGGTGGATTTGAACCCAAAACCTTGCTGCAAGGCAAAAGTGCTAACCACTGTCCCAACTGAAAGTACACTTGCTTTGTACACTTATAAATGATAGTATTTTGAATGACACTAATCAGAAGTAAATGGAACACAATTATCTATATATTATGTATTTGTCACCACAACCAAAGTTTGTGGTTTTCAGACTTTCACCACAAAGTTTTCAGACAAAAGCAGACAACGAGAAAATACGACCAGCCACCCATTATCTGATTTCAAAAGTGTTTGCTATTTGTGTTTTTTGTAAAAGACAAAAGACAAGATAATGGTGTTATTAAATTATTTAGGCTATGGGTGTGTTCATTTTCTCCGCCAGGACTACCAGATGTGGCTGGATCTAAGAAACCTTGAGTCTCGGATAAACGAGCGCTATATCACCCATGAGAGTGATGACCTGCGATGGCATCATCACGCCCAGCTCAGCGGCCTAGACTACCCCATGCACCTAACCAACAGCCCCTGTGGTGAAGTTGGACAGGGGATGAAGCGTTACAAGGAAAAGGAGGAAGAGCTGGAGACCCTCAGTGAGAGGGTGAGTGAACTATGAGGAAGTAAGAAGACTTATTTTCCAAACAACATGAGAAACAATGACTATCACAAAATGAAAAAAAGCACAAAATGAAAACTTACAAAAAATTTGATCCTTATTTTACTTCCATAAATCATAACGAATCTTATTCAAATTAATCTAATTAACAAGTAGTTGTTTCGTATTTACAAGATACGGCTCCTAGAATTACATCTGTAATGCTAGAGTCACTGCATAATTAGGAGTTAACAATTTTGTATTTAATTAGAAGGTCTTTGTGTTATTTATCCCATAGTTTTTTTCAATAGGGTTGTAAAGCTCAAACTATTTATTACCTTTACAAGGCACAGAACTTTCAAATATATTTGAGATTATTGTTATATGTAAGGATCTTGTAATTATTTTTATGTAATTACAAGTCTTTTGTTTCCTGATTTCAAAGAATTATTCTCGCAATTTACAAATGCAACATTTGCTCCTTTTAAATCTCGTAGATGAATAAGCACCTTGATAAACTCACCCTATCCCAGAATACCAAAACAAAAATCCTATGTTAAGGCAATATTGATTTTTGATTAAGAGGTGCGAATTTTTCAAATGACTTCTTAATTTTGACTTTAAAAAAGTTAACGTCATGCAAGATAGTATAATTACGAAATATACAGTGGAGACATATATGATCCACTGTTGTAATTACTGGATCATTATTTCATGCAATTTTTTCCCTTTGTAATCTTTATCCTTATTAAATGTAGTAAAATAAATTTAAAACAACATAATCGTTCCATCCTTACTTTGTTGCTATGAAACAAAAATGTCATTTCTCCATGAAGAGCTACAAATTACAGTACTGGGCAGAAATCTTGAGACATCTCTCAATTCTTTATGTTTTGCTTGGGAGATGGCAGATCCGTGCAGTGATTTATAGAACAGAATTCTGTTGAATGGGAACAGAATGTAAGGTGAAAACACCTGTGCGCACACTGCTTCAGTAATGTTGAGGTCTGGGTTGTGGCTAGGCCAATTCATGGCAGGTGGGGCTTTTTCTACCAAAGTATGCTTTACTATACTGACTATGTGTTTAGGATCATTGTCGTCCTGGATGATGACGCCACTGGCAAGTATAATAGTGCATCAAAATCTGATGCAACCATATTTTCATAAATTTTGGTAAGATCCCAAAAATCATCATCTGACTGACTGATCTTTTCCTATTTCTTAATGACATGATTTCATATACTGATGATCTGCTGTAGATGGTTTTGAGGTCTGCCACTTCTTCTTTTGTACTCCACATGTCCTGTTTCCTCCGATTTCTTAAGGGAACACTGAACACTGTATGCCAAGATTTGCCAAGTTTTCTGTGAATTTTTCTTTCCGAATCGCCTCGTTGGTGCACAAGTACTGTGCGATCTTTGCCATTTTCATAGAACAAACTAATGACATAGGGAAAATGACAACAAAGTGCTAAGGATAAAGTGTAAAATTGGTTCTGTACTAAGTTGTCTTTAATGTGAAGATACAACACCGGTTCATGTGTTACGGTCTATGCCTTTTCTGTGATTCGTGGGTCATTGTTAAATGGCTCATCAAACAAAAGAATATTCTCCTGAAAATGATCTGGACTGGACTGAAAATGAGTGAACAAGCAGCCATTGCCCAAAGAAAAAGGCCTTCAGAAATCCTGGAGAAATACAAAAGACCAATTACAATCAAGTTTGGGTCCTTGGAAGCAATATATAAAGAAATGAGGGGTGGCTCAGGAAATTTGCACAGTAGCGTATATGAGTTATACTTAGAAAATAAAAAGATGAATGTGAATTGTTAGGAACCACTACATTTTTTTCACCATAAATCATAGTAAATCACTGAAAATGACACATCAGAAAGTGTGTCAGAAGGCGATCATAAACTAATATTTAATTTATACTGTACAAACATGAAACTTGCTATTTAGGGCGAGTTTCCTGCAGCTTGCACAAGATTTTGCAGATGTGGAAATAAGCCATGGCTTCCTTCACAACAAATCCAAAACAAAACACAGAGCTCATTCACCATCAAAACTTACCAAGTGTTTACACTCATATCGTCAGATTAAAGTAAAGAGTATTCACTTTGGATGTTGTGTAGATTAAATCCTTACAATTCTTTAAAAATGTATATACATTATTCATTATAAAAAAAAGTTCTAAACTTGATTTTAAAAAAAGGAAACAGCATTTTTCTTCAACCTTGACAAAAGTCGTTTCTTTTGCTCGTCATGTAAAATTATTTAAGGTAACGTTTGTCTTCTGTCTGATAAACACAAAGTAGAAGGACAGTTGATCTTCGCAACTGAAACATAATTCCTAATTTTCCTTTGTAGCATTGAAAAGTCACGAGTTCGGGTTTCATTCCAAAAAGAGATATCCAAGGTACTGTCATTAAGTCATTTACAGATAAAGTGACTGCTCAGTGAAAAGTAATTTACTATGATTTGAGACGTTTTTACTTTCCCCATGTTTTCCAAAAATGGATATGTAGCATTTTGGAATGAAAATCCTCAGTTGCTAAAAACACACTGCCAGTGACATACCAAAAACAACAAGATAAATGTTTTAATGTGTCAGTATTTTTTTTTAACAGTGGAGCCACAAATATCTAATCCAAATGGGAATATATGATTACTTTGATACATTTGCATTGCTGTGGTTTTCTTTCTTTTCCTATGAGATGAGATAAAAGGTGATGTGTCTGGTTTCGTTTGACAGGAAGTTCACTTGAATGCTATGTTTTGCCTTCTGTAAACAGTATAAATGTTAGTGTCTCAGCACAATCTAGGACCCAAATACATGCTCTTTTGATTTTGTAAGGGACAACATCAAGGCCATGTTTTCACCTAAGCTTTTCAGGAAATGCTCCATCTTTAGCTCAACATTTAGTTAACCTTCTGAATCTTTTTGAAACATTCATAGAAAATAACACACAAACTAGTTTTCATCTCCCTGTTTATGGTCTTGACTGTCCACCTCTGCCTTGCTTACTAGTAAACATATGAAAATATTTAATATTTAAAATTTTGGAATTTGAATAAAGCTTTAATCAGCAGGTTTCATGTCTTCTTTCTATACAGTTGAGAGACTGGAGCTGATGCATTCCTGGTAATATGCTGTATGTTAGTACTTAGCAAATACCAATTTATCCAAAAATACTTCTATGTAGAAACTTTTTTAAGACTGAGGATTAAAGGCTTATACCATCTTTTGGACAAAAGACAAGCCAGTCCCTGTGTCAAGATTCCATTTCCTATCTCTGTTTGTTAACTAAATTACTAGCAGAGGATAAGACGTGTGGAGCATACTTTGAATCAGGTGCGAAGGACAAGATTTTGTTGACAATGTGTCAGAGATCCTGTTCATACGACGACCTTTTTGAAGTACCAGTGTGTTTTACTTCTCATTCAAAATTTCTCTCAATGGACCCCCCACAGTCATTAAAGCAGTTTTGTCACCAGTTTGCTTAACTTAAGCACCCAGTTCAACCTCAATCCTCGTATCTCCTCTCCTAGCCACCTCCACTTCCCATTTCAGTTCTTCCTAGTAGAAAGTCAAGCCAAAGGAATCAAAAAGCTACCTTTGTGCACTAGCATAATTGTTTCCTTCTACTTTTTGAAGCACTTCCTCAGATCCATGAAGATCCTTATCATCTTCATCAGTGCAGGTCGCTCCGGGTCATCTGGCAATAACTTATTTAGCTGAAACAGCAGAATGTCATCCAGCCAAAACATCTGGATATTTGTTAGTTAAAAATGCTGCTGTTCTCTTGATCCCATACTAAATAAATACTCCATAAAATTAGGACAAGTTTGCATTTATCCAGCTTATTAATATTCACACCAGCAAGTAAAGAAAATTACCTTAACTTGATGTTTTTACATCAACCACTCTTCCTGGGTTTAAATACTCAATCTTGCCATTCAGTCACTTCGGAAAGGCATTTCCGTACTCACATATTCGATGAGGGACCAGTCGCTTGTGATCAGCTCAGTCTGTAAGGATGGATATGTTGGACATCTTTCAGCTTTCAGAATTCAGGAGAGAGCAACTGTGGTACATGGGTACCATCGCTACTACCAACTGTTTACAGAACAAGCCCTTTGTGCGCAAGGTGGTTTGTGCCACTGTACTGAAATAACTATCTACTGTTATTGTAGTGTAGAGGTTAGTAGCAACCAGCGTTATCGCTGTACCTCAGAATTTGTACCTGAAAAAGAATTTACTTTTTTGAGACACCACCTTCAAATGAACATACACTGATAAAACAATTAACCTCTTCTCAATTGATTAACCATTAATTTGGGGACTTGAATGAGTAAAACAATCTAATCAAGAAAAGTTATTAATATATCAGACCCACAAAATATACTAAATGATTTATTTGAAACTGGTTAATAATTAAATTTAAAATTACATTTAAAGTTATATCTGAATCAGTAACGATGAGGGATTTGAGAATTGTGTCTACCAGCCGTGGTCAACATCCTCCTATACAACATTATTACACCAGGATATGTATTAATGAGAATTTATTTACAAAAGTAATGACTGCAAACATGCAAAGATCTAACTAAGGACTAAGACTAAGAGAACAAAGTATATGTGTGTTTGGGGGACACAGACAGAGTGTTTGTTGACTATGTCCCTGCAGTTCTGTAAGGTGGTTGAACATGTGGTCAAAGCCAAATAAAAGGTGTGATCCTGCTTACATGTGTTGCTGTTGTTGCCCGCGGTAAAATTAGCTGCTGTGTCTAACCAGCTAACCTTCTGTAGGACATGCATCACTGCAGTCAGAAGACTGTTTGCAGAGCATATGATAGAGAGGTTGAGGGAGTGAAGCAAAGTTTTCAGGTCCACACATACACCCATGGCAATCTTTTCCATAATCGATAATTATTGATGACAATTCCTTTTTTTAAGCTTGGTTTTGTTTTGCTTTGCTTTGCTTTGTTTTGTCGTTTTCTTTGTTTTTCTCCCCTGCAG